AATAATTCTCCTAAGTAACATAAGTGTAACCATGTACACTTTGGCCATTTTAATACTAGTAAACTTAGTAGATATCATATCAATTATCACGACGCAGTTCCAATCATCACAATCAGGGCCCTATTTAAATACGATATTTATTTCAGAAGAAATTGATAATTCTTTAAAGAATGATAGTCCTTATATTTCATTTCAAGCAGAGTATTTTAATAATTTATTGACTTAAATTCTTGTTAAATCAACATATAATAACCACGTAGAAAAAGTTATTATGAAAAACTGGCCAGAAATATTTCGTTTGATACTTGTAAGTTATTGTGTTTTGCAACGATTAATTATTGTCCAATTCATAATGATCAGTTAGATTTTAGCCAAAAATTATTTATCGTGAATTTTGATGATGAGAAATTTCATTATATTTCTCTTCTCGTCGTTATTCTTTTTTTTTTTAAAAAAAAAAAAATGGAAAGAACCACGTTTAAAAAACCACAAAAAAGGTAACTTTGTTTATTGTTACGTTTATAAGCTTAACAATATATGAATTAACAATTTTTCATTTTTAAGCTAAGTTTACTTTTGAAAAACTACCAAAAAAAAACCTTAATTAACTTACTAATATTATTCATAAAAACGAATTGTGTTGATTTATTAAAAAAGCAATCAAGCATTCTTAATATTTTTTTTTTTTTTTTTTTTGAAAAATATAGATGAAAGTACAATCATTAATATTGCGATTTCAAAAATGATAACATTTTTATTAATTCTGTAGTATAAAAATATATAGTTTATTTTTATACATCATATTGTGAGAGCACGAATTTGTTACAATATAAACAAAATCATAAAGGTTCTATTCCCTTTTGAAGTTTAGTTTCAAGAGATTGATTCTATTAGTGTGTTTAAGGAAGATGAGTTTTTTTTGGTAGCATGAACATTAGCGACTTTGTCTGAATTATCAACCAATGAAAATAATCTAACATTATGAAAATCAACGATCCTATTTTCAAGCATTGTATTAACAAGATTTGGAATTTTACTCTTCAATAAAATGAGGACATAACGAAATAGAAGCTGAGGATCAAGTACGCTAATAACATGCATCGATGTAATCCGCTACTAGTATGTTGTAATACATTATGGCTGAGGGAGTTCTCGTCTCTGGGGGACCTCTGAATGACCTTTGAATGACCTGGTCATTTGAGGCCATTGTCATTTGGTCATATAAAAGTAATACAGACCAAATTTTAAATACTGGCCAGATTTACAAATTATATCACGTGAAATATTTACGAAAACGTTCGAAACATTAAATTATATTAATTATTTGGCCAGAATTTTTGAGATCACATGATATAATTTTTAAATGACCAAATGATACATGACCAGTCATTTGAGTCATTTGGGTCACTTGCCATCATTGATTTACAGAGTTCTTATTTTTTGACCTTTTATACATATTGTTTACTTATTATTTAATTAATTAATTATTTTTTTTTTAAAGAAAAGTGATTATTCTGTCGTCTGAAGTGGCAGTTTCTTTAAAATATACATCAATTGAAATGATCCTTGATTTTTACAAATCTAAAAGCTTTAAGTTAATTAACTTCCTTAATGAACGATGCTACATATATACTTATACCCAACTGAGAACAAATAAAAAATTCTCTTTAAAATATAATAAATACAATGAAAGGATATTTAATATATGTGTTGGCAATATTCAACATAAATTTTTATAGATTATATTAATAATTTAACAAAATGAGAAAGTAAACTTGCAAAATAATTGATCAATCAATGAATTATTATAAATAATTTTGTAGATTTTGAATGATTAAGATACATAAATACTGAATACAATAGTCTAATGGTAAATAATCTGGATCTCTTTTCATATAAGTCTCAGATTTTAAAACATATATTGTAAAAAATTTTATAATAATAATTTAAATTAAATATATAATAAAAATGAAAATTATGTAAAAAAATAACTTTTCTTAATATTATAGTTTAATTATAAAAATATAGAAAAATAAATTCAAATCTAATTAAGATATATAGATGATAAAGGATAAAGATGATACTTAAAAATCTTATTATATAAATTTATAATTCTTTTAAATCCAATTTAAAGAAATCAGATAAAAACAAAAATTTCTATAAAAATAGATTTAGTAATAAGATCTTATAAACTAACTAGCATTTTATTAGTTTCTTAATATTTGAAGACCTTCTTAGTAAAAGAAAGGTTCAGCCAATCATATGATTTTAAGAAAATCGCAATTTAAATCATGTGATTGATTTTATCAGAAAATTTAATATTTCTTATTTCTTAAAAATAGTTTTTATAACCTAGGATGAAATTTTACAGACATTTTCTTGAAGGTATTAGCTTTCTTTTATCTTTTTTATTTTTATTTATATTATAAAATACATAATCATTTAACCCTATAAAACTTATTAAAATATACAATAAATTTGTCTATATGAGTGATAAAAAATAAAAAATTAAAAATTACGTCTTTTTTACTAATATATTATGAATAAAAAATATATTTCTCAAAAGGTTAAACCTATAAGAATATGATGATCAAAAAATCTCAAAATCATGTGATTGATCTGAGTCCTCTCTTTTGTTAGGAAAGTTTTTATTTCTTTAATAAGTTATTTAAAGATAATACTTATAAAGAATATTTATAATTATATAGTCTCTTAATAAAATAATAAGGATTGAATAGGAATTAACAGATTTTTTAATTTTATTAAAGAGATAGAATCAAATAAAAGAATTATATCATGTATTTGAGATAAGTTTTTTTTATTAAATCTTATTACAATTTCAAATCCAATTTTAAATAATTTTATAATTTAGAATTTTTATAAAGTAATTAAAAAAAATATCAAAATCAAAATATATTACACTTTCTTCTTCAATTCATATATATAATATTTTAATAGATCATTTAAAAAAATTTCTTAATAATAAAAGCAAAGAATATTATTTAATTTCTGAAATATGAATTGCTATAGCAAAATAATATAAGAAGCTTAAAATTTATTATATAAAAATAGATAAATCATATATCTACCTAATTGTAACAAGTATTAAATATTTTATTTTTTATTTAAATTTATTTATATTATTAATACTAATGTATTATTTCACATTTATTATTTTAAGTACTTTATTCATAAATGAAATTAAAATACTATTGATAACAATTATAAAAATAAAAATATATTGATAATACAATAAAAATAATTAGAGATATATATAAGGAATATTATTAAAATAATTCTTTTACTAATAACTTAGTTCAAAATTAAGATTAGAGCAATTTTTTAATATGTTTAAAATAGATAATAATTTTTCTGATAAAGATGAATTGAATAAATATCTTCAAAAACCTATAATTAAGTTTAAAATTGATTTATTATAATGGTAGAAGGTAAATAAATTTATAGTAAATTTTTTTATATTATATAATTTAACTAATATAAATAACTAAATATATTACAAATACATAAAATTGTTTATTTATATCTTATAGCTATAGCTTGAGATTTTTTAGTAATTTTAGATAAATATGATCTTTTTATTAATATTTTAATATTTTAAAAGTATATTATAACTTTTAATTTTATATTAACTTAAAATATATAACTTTTAATTTTAGGAACTAATATACATATTGAAAGGATTTTTTTTTAATAGAATTAATTTAATAATAAAAGATATTTTAGTTTAGGAATAGAATCAATCAGAGCATGTATGTGCCTTAAAAATTGAAAAAAATATCTTCAAAAGACTAATTTTCAATAAGTTTTATTAATTAAAAAATTAGAAAATTTTAAATTTTATTTTTTAATAAATAAGATTTTATTTAGTATAATAATATCAAGTTAAATAATAATTATAAAATTAATTAATTTATTAAAAAAATAAAAAAAATAAAACTTTTGTGATATTTTTTTATTTGACTTTTAAGTCAAATTGAGTTAGGTATCTAATCTAAAAAAAAATAAGATCAAGTATCTGACTGACCTAAAAAATTTGATCTGCAGATCAGGTTATATTAAACATTTATTTATATTAGATAGCTTTTAATTTAATTTAAAAAAATATAACAAATTAGGTTAAATAAATTACTTGACCTAATCTGTTTAAAGCTTTAATTTATAGTATAATAAATAATTAATTATAATAAAATAGTTTTGTATAAATATATTACTTTTACTAAAATTGTAAATTAAGTTTAAAGAGTCTAAAAATTAAAACATTTTATAAGTAATAAATAAAAAAATCAGTTAAAATTTATAAAAATTACTTTCACTTTAATATTATTTTTCATATAGAATTGATTGTGATATTCTATATTATCTTGATTTTAAGTTTAATATTGAGTTTAATTTAATAAATTTTAATTTCTAAGATGTATAAATCATAGAGTTAATTTAAGTATAATAGATACTTGTAAAACTTAAAAAATTTTTTAAGGTCATAAATTTTAATGAATAGAATTACTTATTGTAATATTTTTAGTTTAAATAACTGAACAAATCAGTAACAAAAATATGATTAATATTTTATATAAAAATTAATATAATTTAATTATAAATTATTTAAACTTATATAAAACTTATATTTAATTAAAATTATGCAATTTTATAAAGTATAATTTATATAATCTTATATATAAGCTTATGCTAATTTATATTTAAAAATTTCTGATAAGATATTAAAAACTTTTATTTATTTATAAAATAACCATTTATATATAATTATGATTATTTTATATTATTAACTTAAGTATTATTTAATTTAAATAATTAAAATTTTATTATTTTTTATAATAACTTATATATGTTACAATAAAATTTTATAAAATTAATTATTTTTTATTTAAGAAAATACTAATTTAATCTTATAAATAAAATATAATATTATTTAATATGATAATTTAATAATTAGTATTTCTGTTTTATCAAGTTTATTAAATAAAATAAAATAATATTTATATATTATATAAAGTTAATATTAAAGATAGACACATAATTATTTTCAAATTTTAATTAAATTGCAACTTAATTGTGCTATAAGAAAATTTAATTGCGTCACAAGTTGTAACTCAATTGCATCATTTTTTTTAATTACAATGACCATTTTTAGTTAATATATTTATTTATAATTTTTAAAGATTATAAAATTAGATTTTTTTTAGTAAA